GTCCTTCGCCATGGCTTACTGATCTGCCCTCCGAGGTCGATCATTTTATTTTCATCTGTCTGGTCAGTTCCGCTGCCCGGGCAGGAAACTTTGCTGGCTCCACTCTCCGAGTGGTTCTTGCCTGGTGCTCAGACAGCGTCTGTGACTGTGTGCCCTCTGGGTATCCCTGTCTCCGACAGGTTTGCCTCTGGTTCCGTTCCACCGGTTCGGACCATAGGCTTGGCTGCGTCTTGCCTTTTCCCCTCCGTTGTTGTCTGGTCCCGCCAGGCCCACCATGGAGGAACATCTCGATCAGCTTATGGATGAGGACCGCTCAGCGACCGGTTCCTTTTGTCCATTCTGGTCCTGTTCAGGACTCTGATCCGGACCTTCGGCCCGGCCCTCAGTTCTGTTTCACAAAGATTTGTTACAGCCCGGCTCGGTCAGGTCAGTGGTCACTCCGTGTCCTCACGATCTCGACCCCGTGCCCCGCCGCTGCTGCATGTCTGTTGCACGTTTCTGGTAGCATCTGCAGAATCGCCTGCTGCTCTGGTCACAGTTGCTCTGTCCAGCTTGCATGCATGCTCACGTCTGCTCCGCTGCCGTTTTGGCTTAGATCTTTGGCCTTGGGCCTTTCTCTTCTTGCACCCTACCTCCTTGACCTTGACCTCCGGTCCGGTCATGGCCCGCCACTCTGCTTCCGACAGCCGGTCCCCGTCCGGCCCACCTGCACCGGTGGTCACCAACAACCCCGGCCCCTCAGTCCGGGAGATTTTGGAAGTGCTCGAGGCTGCCAACCGGGATGATTTTGAGACAGCCCTGGGGCAACTTAATGCGTCCACGCTGGGACAGCTCCAGCACAGCGTGTCCGGTGCCCTCCGGTCGGCAGCCCGGTCCGGGGATGTGGATATGCCCCCGTCTCCGGTGGTTACCGACACTTCCCCGGCTGACCCGCCACCGGCTCCGATTCCAGCTGCTGCCCCTCCCGCCCAGGCCCCGGTTACGCCGGCCCAAGCTCCGGCACTGGCGATGGCTCCGCCCCGCCCAGCCCCCGGCTGCACCCCACCGGTTCCGGGCGGCGACATTTCCGGTCACCGGGCAAACCGTCCGTGGACATGCTCGGAAGGTTGGCAGCTGTCCCGCCTCGGCATTGACATAGAGGGGCAGCAGCATGAGATCACCCGGCCGGATCATTGGCCGTACGCTGATCTCTTTATCCTCGAAAGGGCTCAGCTACCCTGGTGGGTACATATTCCGGACCCTCCGGCCCCCCTTGCCCACTTGCCGGTCCGTGGATTCTGTACCCGCCCGTGTTCCGCCCTCGTCACGAACGCCACGTGGCGCAGCCGTAACTGTTACGGACTGTGCTTCCGTCCGGTCCACTTGGG